GCTTTGGTCTAGAACTTGTGGGACTTCTGCCTAGCTTTGGTTACTATAAAGTAACCAAACTTGCTTTACCTTTATATGAGTCATAACTCTTGACTTTGGACTTGTTTAAACTCTCTGTGCCTCAATTTCATTATGTGTAAAATGATGCTAAGAAAAACTTCTTATGATTGTTATAAATATTAAACGAAGCAGTGTATGTATACTACCCCTAGAAGATATTCAATGAACATTTATGTCCTTTCCCTAAGCTCTTCTTAATCCCATTTTAAGACTTCTCCTCAGAATAAAAGTTGAAATTCGTGTCTGTTTTCTATTATAAACTCCATCCAGTGCCTTTTGCTGTAGGCTTGTGGTGCCCTGGGTAGAAACCGTGTTTAATGCCAGGTACTTGGATTTTTCAAAAGAGTAGAAGTTGACAGTAAGGACCTTACATTGACAGGAGCCAAACATAATAAAAATATCCTGTGCTATTGATGCAGGAAGGGGAACCTCTTCCAGGGCCCAAGGGTGAGCTCTTGTCTAACACTCAGAAATGAATTGCCCGAGGAGACACACGTGCTGACAAAACAAGAGACTTTATTGGGAAGGGGCGCCCGGGCAGAGAACAGCAGGGTAAGGAACCCAGGAGAACTCTGCCACATGACTTGCTGTCTCAGGTTTTACGGTAGTTGGGTTAGTTTACTGGTTGTCTCTGGCCAATCACTCTGACCCAAGGTCCTTCCTGGTGGCGTGAGCATCACTCAGCCAAGATGGATTCCAGTGAGAAGGACTCTGGGAAGTTGGTAGGACATATGGACTAGAGTCTCCTCTCTCCTTTTGACCTTTCCCGAATTCTTCCCGTTGGTGGTAGCTTGTTCCCCATTCCTTACCAGGACCTCCTGTTGTAAGATAACGCATGCAAGTGGTTACTACGGTGCCTGGCCAGGGCGGGCGGTTTCAGTCCCCTAACACTATGAGGCCAGATATGACCCAACTCCAAATGTATATTTAGTTTGAGTTTAAACTCCATCAGAGTTTCAAAGAGGGATAGCCATTATGTACCCAATGATGGAGGGCATTAAGGGAAGAAGGAATAGACGGCTTCATAAACCATTTTTCTGACCCTAACTTTCTTTCTACCAAACTTCTTCTGGGCTTTGGACCTTGTGTTGGGACTTGAGTAAGTGAGGGATGGGGAGTGAATTCACTATACACGTAATATATATATACTATATGTACATACATCCACATACGTATATTCATCTTTGTATACATGTATGTAATGATCAAGTTACCGATGAAACATTAATCATTGTACTTTGATAATGTGATAATTTTGGTTGAGGAAATGAATCCTTTCCCAGTTAGTTATTCTGGTATCTTTGTACAGTTTTGTTTTTGTTTGTTTTAAAGAACGTCAACATCAATCTTCTTTTCTTTTTCTAATATTAAAAAGGGTGACATTTGAATGTTGAAGTTCTTCTCACTCCCAAGACATGTTAAGCCTACTGTATCATATTTAAGTGGTTTCTCCATCTCTTTCCCAATAATTTTAATGCCATGAGCATTGTTTTCTATAGTTCTTTGTTACATTTGTTTTCAGCTGGCACATGGAAGTGTTTTTAGAGAACATAAAAAGACTTGTCCTTATTGAGAAAGTTCCTGACCCAAGAGAAGCATTTCCTTCAAAGAAGGATGAGCTTTTAATGTAAAAAAACTTTCCCTAAAATTTAGCAATTTCTCCTGAGACATGGAAAATTTTTTAGTGTTATAAAGTATATCACCTTTGTGTGCCGACTCTCTCTTATGACATTGAAATCCTCAGATCACGTCAACCGCCTTCCTTTCCTTGTTGAGCTATTGCTAAACAGAGGTTCAGGGAAAGGACATGTTTTAGCAGGTATGGAAAAATTTCCAGGACACTCATGTCCAGCAGCAAGTCTTGTAGTATTATGGGCTTGAATAGACTGTAAATCCTCTTTGCAGTTCTTTTTCCAGATTGGCTTTTGGGAACACTATAAGCTAAATTATACAACTTTCTTTGATTATTATTTCCCAAGATGTAATATAAATTTGCAGAGTCTGTGGCAAATAACCATCTATAACAGATCATTTTCTTTATGTAGGTACAAATATAATAGTTTCAAGATATCTCCATTTATGGCCTGCTCTTCCCAAAGACAATTAACATGTTAACATCTAAGTTTCCATAGTTTTCTTCTCAACAGTACTTTTTTGTCAAAGGAATGATAGCTATGCTAGGTAGGAAGAGGTGATGGAAAGGTACTATTTAAATATTACTTCTATTCCCTGAAAAATTACTGTACCCTACCTTTGCTGTTTCCCATGCCGTCTGAGTTTTTAATGACTAGTTAAAATATCAAAGAGCTGTGGGGAAAAAAACAACTGAATCTCAATGAATACTAGAAGGACTTCCCCGATGAAAATAAGGCTATGCGTTTGGGAAGACTAAGAGATAACTTAATTAGAACAGAATCAAAAGAACTGGATCAAAGGACCTGGAGCTACCACTGACTGTGTTCTTAGGCTATGAAATTCATACTTCTGTGCCTCAGTTTTCTCACCGTTAAGGTGTTGGACTAGATGAATACAAAGGCTTTTTCAAATGCTAATAATCAGTGATTAATAGTAGCTCATTCCCACTTTTTCCTTGATACTCTTCTGAGGTCCAAGAGTTTATATAAGGTAGCAAAAGGGATACATATATAATGTAATGTCCCTAAACTTATTTGAGCAGCAATGCCTTCCTATGATCCAGCTCCTCATTTTGCAGACATATAGGGAAGTGAAGTGGCTTGCTCAAGTGCGCATGTCTAGTCACAAAGCAGAGCATCACAGCAGAGCAGTCACTTGTCTGCAGTCCAAGGCTGGTTCTATTAAACCAGGTTTTCCTGACACTTTTCATTTATTTATTGTGTATGTTAAATTATAACTCCTAGATACAAATGTTGTATTTTTTCTATGTAACTTACTATACCCATAGCTCCTTATAGTGTTAGGAATCCAACAGGTGCTTAAAAAAATTAATTAATTTGTATACTGGCTCTTAAATTTTTATCATTCACATTTTTTGGTCAGCTAGAGACTGTACCCCCCCCAAAAGAAATGTGCTTATGAACTGTTCCAGAAACTTCTTCAAAATTTCAAAGCAGAGGATATTACATGGAAGTAGGAAAGATATTGCTTCTGCAGCCTTTCCCCTTAAACCAACACAACCTCATTTGCATCTCTGACTTGTGTAATCCTGGCAGCTTCCAGATGGCTTGGCAGTGTCTCCACGTTAAAAGATAGACCGCAACCTACGGGTCAATGAGCAAAGAGCAGTCTTGGCTACTCATACAGAAATGGGGAGAGATGGCTGTGAACTTGTAACTTCCTTGCGTCTTGGAAAATAGAGCCTAGGTGACACATTATTCCAAGACCAGAATTATGCACCCCAAAATCTGCTTGAGAGGGAGAAGAAGGAGCCAGAAATCTGTTAGAACTTGAGTGGGTGATTTGTATTTATCTAGTGGGATAAGCCTGTTACACAAAGGGCTTTATTAGACATGCTAAATTACATTGCTTAGCTATTCGAATGCCTGCTAATCCTCTAGGCAAATGCATTTCCTTTCCGCACCTTACTTGGTGCAGTCTTTCCTGTGAATAACCATCACATTTTATTTGTATTTCTCATATGACACACATTCACCTTTTCCTCCAAATGTATTTTTCACCAACTGTTCAGTTCCCATCTATTTATTGAGCATGTTAGAGACCGGGGTTGAGATGTGCAAAACAGCTCTGGAACCCCAAAGAGCTCACCTTTCAGGGGAAGGGACAGACACAGAAACTTAGGTGGCTGTTTTCTAAAATCACTCATATTAAGCAATGAGCATCACAAGGCAGACAAAATGTCTTATTCTCTTTTGCGTCTCCCAGAGGTTAGGTGCTCAGTAAATATGTGTTGAATGAATCAGTAAATATCTTATAAGGCTTCTAGGAGAATATATTCTATTTCATTAATTAGTGTATGCACCTGCCTATTCATTCAATGACTTTTTTTTATTGTGCCAACCCTATTTTAAGTGCTGATACAGTCTTCATTTCATTTCAATTTCTATCACAAAAATAATACATTTTGTAATTATAATTATGTAAGTATATTTAACATCAACCTGGCAAGTTTTCCACCAGTTATTTCTTCAATCAATATTTCTTTTGTGTAAATGAATTATTTCCAAATTGTCTTTTTAGCTAGTTGTAGTTCCAAAGAAAGCAGTGAAATAAACCTCTGAGATGAAACTTGTTTGCATTGATTGATTCTAGTTCATAATCCTCTTGGTTTTATTACTGTCCATTGAGTTACTAAATGTTAATTGATCATTGTGACCTTACAAATTATCTTTTTAGAGTATGTTTTAGGTCATAAATAGAGAGTAATCACTTTCACGTGAAAGAGAATGGAGATACAGTTTTGGCAGAAATAGATTTGATTAAAACAAACCTATATTCTTAATACATTTTTTAAATTATATAATTTCTCCCAATTATAGAAGTAATATGTCTTCATTGTAGAAAACTTGGAAAATGCCGAGTATATAAAGAAGAAAGAAGGCACTTAGAGGGGTGTTTATACTTCTTATACAAATTTGCATTCTGATTTTCCACTTAACAGTGTATTGTGTGCATGAAAAAAATCATTTCTAAAGCCCTAAGAATTGGCAAAATTTGAGTAAATATGTGAAAAGTCACAAGACTACGAGGTTCAGAGAAATCGTCAATGCAAAATACATGAAACTACTTGAAGTTTCACTTCAGGGTGTTCATTAAAGCTTCCTTTTAAAATAAACCAAGATAATAACTTTTTAAAAACCTCTATTTCCTCTGTTGAAGAAATTATGTGCTATAGATGTCAGGTGATCTGTTTTTTTCTATTTGAATACTTGCTAAAGAGATCACTAGGAGGAAAAGTTTTCTAAATCAGAAATTAAGAACAAAAAAAGAACAAAGGGAAATTATTTTACTTCGTTCAAGGTCTATCATGTTACTTTCCAACTTCCTTTTCATTAGTAGCATAAAGAGATCACAGTTCATACAGTTAGATGATTTGGATTTACTTAGTCTCCATAAGCCTCAGTTTCTCCTGTGTAAAAGGAAGGGGATAAAATTAGAAGAGATTTAAATTCCCTGGTAGTGAAATACATATATGGAAGAGAACACATGTATAAATATATGTGATATTAAATATTCATATGTATTATATATAAAGACAAATATAAAAGAAGATATATATTATATATTATATTATATATATATATGAAGATAGGCCTATAAATCTATATACCTGATACTTATCCTCTATATTGGAGAACCATATTTAACTTATAAATCAAAACCCTGAGTTTGGTTGGTCTTAATTTGACCATCAATACCAGATAACTAGTAACTGGATAATTAGTTGGTTCCTAAAAATCTTGTGAGAAAGAATATTGGATTAAAAGTCAGAATACTTGGGCTTCCCTGGTGGAGCAGTGGTTGAGAGTTCGCCTCCCGATGCAGGGGACACGGGTTCGTGCCCCGGTCCGGGAAGATCCCACATGCCGCGGAGCGGCTAGGCCCATGAGCCACAGCCACTGAGCCTGTGCGTCCGGAGCCTGTGCTCCACAACGGGAGAGGCCACAACAGTGAGAGACCCGCGTACCGCAAAAAAAACAACTTGATTCTCATCCTAGCTCTGTTATTAATGAATTACCTTTCCCTGGATAAGCCACTTATCTTCTCTGGGTTTTCTCTTTTTTTAAATAGGGTGGTAGACTAGAAGTCCAGTAATTTCCATCCTGGCTCATAAAATATGATTGTAGGACTAATCCAGTTCAATAATTCATTGGTGCTATTTTCTAAAAATTGTTCTATCATCCTAATAGTCAAGCAAAGTGTCAGAAAATGAGGTGTATTTAATCCAACACTTGTAACAAAATTTTTACATTATTTAAGGAATGTGAGCCAAGTGAACTAAAAGATATGCACATTTACATATAAAAATATAGTATATAAATATCAAAATATATGTATGAAAATATTAAATTTATATTCACATAAAATTACCATTTTGTTGAAGGAAAACAATAAGTAAGCAAAATACAATAATTTTAAAATTTCCTCTCATTTCTCAATTCCTAATCCTGTTTTTTGCATCATTACATTTTGAAGAAATAGATAGATTTTACCAAATCAAGTCCTCATCCATTTATTCATTCATTCATTTCATATTATTTATTTATTTATTTTGCGGTACGCGGGCCTCTCACTGTCGTGGCCTCTCTTGTTGCGGAGCACAGGCTCCGGACGCGCAGGCTCAGTGGCCATGGCTCACGGGCCCAGCCGCTCCGCGGCATGTGGGATCTTCCCAGACCGGGGCACGAACCCGCGTCGCCTGCATCGGCAGGCGGACTCTCAACCACTGTGCCACCAGGGAAGCCCTCATATTATTATTTTAACTAATTCATATGGAGTACTAACTGTCAACAATGTTACAGATACTAAGGATACTGCATGATACCTATATAGAAGGGTATGGTTCCTACCTTCCTTCAGTTTAGAGCCTATTGGAGAAGAAAGACATTTGACCAATGATGACACAACAATGTAAATCTGAAATTGCAGTGAAAGACAAGACTGTAAAAGAATGCAGACCTAATTTGGACTTGGGAGTCAGGAACGATCTGCCTGAAAAAAAATGACATTAGGCTGAGGCTCCAGGGGTGAGTAGGAAGGAATTAACCAGGTCAAGAGAATGAGAATAAGCATTCCAGGCAGACGGAGCAGCATATACAAAAACCCTGAGAAAGGAGAGTTACAGAGATTAGGAAACTAGAGGCCTGCACCTGGTGAGCCAGTGGGGACCCTAGAGAAGTGGGCCTTATAGACCCAATTAAGTTTTGGATTTTATTAAAAGAATACTTGGGATTTCTGCAGTCATTTAAGAGATAGTAATATCACCAGATTTACATCTTTCAAAGAGAACTCTAACCTTATATTACAAATCAACTAAAGGAGTACAAAAACTAAAAGAAAACCAATTGGGGACTTGGCAATAGTTTCAATGAAAGAAAATTAAACTAGGGTGATAACAATGGAAATGGTAAAAAAGAAACAGCTTCAAGACACATATTGGAGAATAGACCAAACTCGGTAATGGGATAAATATAAGTAAACAAAAGAGAGGTAAATGGCAAAGGTGATAATCCGATTTATGGGATATGCAGGAGGGTGGATGAAAATGGCATTCAGTGAGTTGAAGAAGACCAGATGAGAAACATGTTTGGGAGCGGGGCGGCTAGAGGTCACTCTTGATCAGGCTTATAAATCATTTTAAATAGACAGTTGGAGAGGTGAGTCTGAAGCTCTGAAGAAAGCCTTAGAGAAATAAATTGGAAATCATCAGCATATAAGTGATATTAAAAGCTGTGTGTGTGTATGTGTGTGTGTGTGTGTGTGTGTGTGTCTGTGTGTGTCTGTGTAGATGAGAAAAAAAATGATGGCAATATTATATAAAGGCCCAGAGCTAGTTCTAAAGGAATTTAAGCATTTAATTTTGAGAGAAAAGGAGGTGCCAGCATATAGGAGTTAGAGAAAAAACAGCCAAAAAAGGTGAAAGGAAAAAACAGGAACATATAGTCACAGAAGCCAAGAAAAGAAAGTATTTCCTAAAGGTCATCATGGTCAATATTGCTGAATATCAAGTAGTAATGGAGTTTGTGGAGTTCATTGGACCACAAAAGCAATTTAAATGGAATAGTAGAGACAAAAGCTGATTGATGAGTACATGAGATGGGTTGAAAGGATGAGAAATTAAAAAGATTAAATTAAAGGAAACATACACAGTTAGCTTTTTTGAGAAGCATGCCTGGGAAAGGGAGTAGAAAGAGTGGTAAATAAAAGATTGTGAATTAAAGATGGATGAGATCAGAGCACGTTTGAAGGCTATTGGGAAAAGTCCTTTAAAAAGGAAGATGATCAAAATTCAATGAAGAGGGAAGATGAATAAAAATATAAGCCAAGTTGTGTCACTCCTCTGATTAGAATAAAATATATATTCCTCAGCCTGCTTTAAAAAATCTTCCTTGAAGGCTCCTAGTTAAATCTCCAGCCTCATTTCATGCCACTCTTCCCTTCTTTCTCTTCCTTAGGTATACAGTAAGAATTCTCCCGAGAATTCCAGGTTTAGAACCTTTGCACAGGTTGCATCCTCTTCCAGGAATTCTCTTCCCTCTGCAATTTGCCTAGCTCGCTCTTTTCCATCAAAGTTTCAGTTGAAATGTTCTTCCTGACCATCCACTGAATCCAAAACGATCTTCAAATTTTCATATGTCTGGTTCCTTCTTGTCGTTCAAGCCTCGGTTCCAGTATCCTCAGTGAAACCCTTCTGATAACCTAATGTAAATTAGTAACCCCCCCATTCCCTTGCCATCACCCTGTGAATTCTTAGCACAGCACTTCTTATGCCACATTTTATTGTTCATGTGCTTGTTTATATGTTAATGGTATGTCACTTCTCTCTAGAATGTAGACTATGAAAGCAGGGATCTCATCTTACTTGCTCAATGCCGTATTCCCAGAAAGTGTGATAGTGTTTGGCATATAGTAGGTGCTCAATAAAAGTTTGTTGATTGGTTGAATGGTAAGTTTAATTTACAGGTCGGTCTTCTTAGAAAATATCTAGAAATTAAAAGGCACATTATGGAAATTTTAATCAAATTCAGTCTAAATATACAGGTAACAGATTAGAGGATTGTAGTGAATAACACTATTATTTAAAAATATTCTAGAAGATTTATTTTTAATAGAAAATCTTAATGATTCCATACCTCTTATAATAATATTAACTCTAATTTTCGTGCATCAGGTATATACAATCTAATAGCAAGAGAAAGTTTTCCAGAAGTACTTTGCTATTAAAAAGTAGCCAGCCTAATATAAACAATTTACTACGAGTAATCCATTTGGTAGATAAAACATAAGTATGAAGCCAAGAGTATATTTACATTCAGCAAGCATTTATTAAGCCATGCACAATCCTAGGCATATCGGATTCAAAAATGAATAAAATGCAATAGACTGATCTCTAATAATTCAAATATGAGTAAGTTGCAGTGGTTGAGAGTCCGCCTGCCGATGCAGGGGACACGGGTTCGTGCCCCGGTCCGGGGAGATCCCACATGCCGCGGAGCGGCTGGGCCCGTGAGCCATGGCCGCTGAGCCTGCGCGTCCGGAGCCTGTGCTCCGCAACGGGAGAGGCCACAGCAGTGAGAGGCCCGCGTACTGCAAAAAAAAAAAAAAAAAAAAGTCTATAATAGAGTGTGAACAAAATAATGCGGGGCCAGTTTGTTTTACCACCTCTGGGCCATGGAACCACACATTTGAATTTAGACACTATTCAAAAGTTTCCATTCCTCCTAGGGGTAAATGGTTAATAAGAAATTCAGTTACCCTGGATCTAACATCTTTCCCCAAATCAAGTGAAAGTCTTTTTCACAAAGAAGGGGGAAAGAGAAGGTTATTTTTCTGCCAGTGTTTCAATGGAGCAATTAAGCTTTGTCTGTAAGATGAAGAGGTTGCCATAAGAAAAGAAGCACAACAACAAAAAATATTGTGCTCAATGGTTGTGCAATGCCAGCTCATTATTTCTGGAAGGGGCTAAAGATTAGAAAATCACTCTTCTTGAGTTGTAATAGACCTGTAAAGCTGAGTAACTCAGAAAGTACTGAAAAGGAATACTGGGGAAAATAATACAAAAATAAATAGCAATAGAAATCGTGGGAAGCTAAGCATGACCTTTGGAAAAAGAGGAAAATTTTGCATATCTAAGAAAATCTCATCACAGTCCTCTCTGTAAGATTAAAATGATTTCAGTATTTTTCCATTTATTTAATGCAAACAGGTATGGCTTGCTCTGACAAAACATCCCATTTCTTATTTAGGTATTATTATGCAGACAGAACATCAAGTTTATGTTGGTTGTTCAAAGTCATTCTTAAAGACCAAGAATAAGAGCTAAATATAATAATTAGAAACGTTTGCATGCCAGAGATCCTTTTCTTCCAAATATTTCTTTGGGCTTACAGTCTCTGTCAAAGGATTGGGACGCACTGTTATAAATATGTCTCATTCAAACATTAATGAGGAAGCAAATCATTCACCTTTTAAAAATTGCAGCATCTATTTTGATGTCATTTATCAGCTGTTCGATGAAAGAACGAGGCAGAAGCAGGCAGAGAAGTATTTCTGAATCCTGAGTTTTCTGAATGAAAAAGAAGTATTCCTCTATGCATAATTTCTTATCTTGTTAATACAACAGAATACAGCTGTCTTACCAATTAGTATAACATTTAGCACATAAAGTATTAATTTCCAAAATATTTTAAAACCTTTAAGAGAATAATATCTTAAAAATAATAGGTAAAAGCAATATAAATACAAATTTGTCAACATTAAGCTAGCGAGAAATATTTCTGTATCTTCCAAAATAGCCTTTGAGTCATTAAAGCAATGTTAATTCTTTTATCGATTTTTTTTTTTGCCACAATAAACCAATGACTAAATACTAATGACTATGTACTAAAACATAACATAGAATGTTGTGGCTGTGTTTTTGCTTTTCTCAGTGTGTATCTTTTAGAAAGCAAGAGACTATTTAAAGAAAAGTATATTGTTTGAAAATATTTTATACTTGAAATAAAATGCTGTTTTACCAGAAGTTTCCAAAAGGAAAATAAAGAAAATTGTATTCTGCTTTTTTTTTTTTTTTTTTTTTTTTTTAACACTGTCAGCCTATTCTAACACACGCAAGTAGCAACTTTCAATTTCTGGCTCCATCTACGTTATGTTGCAAAGGATTTTTTCCTGTCCACCATTTCACCTTGAGCAGGGGTGCCTCATTTATAGATCGCTCTGGATTCAATCCATTTTGCTGCATTTTGAAGTAAAAAGAAAAAAATTGGTTAAAAATTGCTCCGTCTTGTTATGACTGGCCAGCTGTAATATACTTTACAAATTTGAACCTGCAAAAGGTGGTGTGTTTTCAAGTTATTGCTTAAATTGTCTCAGGCTACAGTTCAAGGTCATATTATTTAATTTTCCTACGTTTATGATCTCGACACATTTTATATTTAATTTTTTGTGGAGAATGATTTGTCTTTACCCCGAGCTGTGTTTGCGCTAGGCCATAAAATCAGGTGATGACCCCGTGGAATCCGTGGGCACCTTAAAGAGACTACAGAAACTGGTTTGGACCAAGAAAGCCAGGGTGCCAAGTCTGAATGAGATGAAACCTACATCAATAAATCTCCGTAAGTAAGAACTCAAAGAGATGATAAAAACGTTTTGAGGAAGAATTGGGGTAGCATATATTAATGAAGGACATTTTGATAAGGCCTTAAAGTAATCATTAAACGTTGAGTCTTTTGGGGGTTTTTTGCCAAGTTATTTGTGAAACAAGTATCCTTACACTGTTCCTGAATTTCATCCATGACATTCCCTTTCCCCTTTCCTCCAGAACCAGACTCAGAGGAAGAGTAAGAGAAAGCTATGGGTAAAGCTCAACAAGAAAATAAGGGTCAACATTGTCCACTGTTCCCATTCCTTGGCCATAGAAAACAGTATGATTCAGTTTTGATGTGAGTGCAGCTAATTGGCAGATTGTGATATGCAACTTTGATTTTCATTTATTTACAAGAATGCACTATTAATCACAATCTTTTGTTTATACCAGCTAAGCATTTGAACTTAAATAGCTTCGACCATATGGCACAATTTACTAAGGGTAATATATGTTTCTATTTTCTATAAATGTTTTATATACTAACAGAAATTTCATCAGACCCTACACTATATGCAAATATAGGTCTCACTAATCAACTTTATAGGACCAAAGATGTACCTTTTTCTTTTGTTTTCTCAGTCTTGTTCTTACTTTTCCAAAATATTTCACCATGAGACATACCACATGCGTAAATCTCTTTGCAGATTGATACTAAAATAGAGAATTTTAGGATACCAAAAGAATTTCCAAAAATCTCTACTGAGATTTCATTCTTTTAAGTAAGGCAAAGATTTCATGTGCTTCTTTATGATACTCTCTTATACACATGGCCTCAAAAATTAAAAATATTTAAGAATAGAAACATACCATATCATGCTTATAACATGTGGAGAATTTTTTTTAATTTGTATTTTTTCTACAGTGTCTTTCAGTACACTATTTGCGTGTGGCTTCCAGTCATTCCAGTCAAACTGGCTTTAATCATTATATATGCCTTCAAAAAATTTTAGGTAAATCTGTTTTTACAAAACCAGTCACTTAATATATCAAAGATTTACCCTTTAAAGAAATGCTATTGTAAAACTATTTTGTGAAATTATATGACTTCCTGGTTTAGCCTGTGATGTTCATTCATTTCTATTATATAAAGGGAATTATAATAGTCATAATTTCTACATGTGAAAAATCATTAGACAGACTTACCCCTTATTTTTCTTTACCATTCAGAATATGAAGATGAAACATTGATTTCTTGTATGAAATTAGCCAAATCCCAAGAAAAGAGAGTTAATAATGTTAGTACAAGGAGGAAGGAAGAAATGGAGATTAGATTGGATTCTACTTCTGCATCACTGGTTAGACCCAGTACTTCAACTGGATGCAGCTTGGCCAAAATATTATCCCACAGTGGAGGTGAAGTTCAGATGTGGAAAAGCTGGAAGCCTTTCCCAGAAAACCGGTTGTGGACATATGTTGATTTCCAAATTGACCGGGTTGGACCCTGGGACAACTGTTTGCACTGCACTCACCACCCACATCTCAAGTCTTCTTGTACAGATATGGATCTCCCACACTCATGGGTAAGTTTGTAAACTACGGAAATGTATCAACTTATCTGGTTGTGTGTACTAGCTGGAAAGAAACAGATAACAAACGTACTATTCAGTCAAATTTATGAGTCTCTGGAAAGTTACCAGAGCTAGAGCTGTCTTTCCAAAAAGCAATGCAGCTCTTGTGACTTCTGCTATCATGTTACTATTAGACATGTTCCTTGTGTTTGAATAAACTACCGTATAATATTTTCCAGGGATTTCTTTTTAACTAAAGGAAGACAATGGATGTTGATTCAGATCAAGAAGATGTGCGTTGAATTGTCTAAATTATTGCTGTTGTCTTGCAGTTTCAGTGACAAATAATAGCTAATTTAAATGAGCATTTTCTTTGTGCATGCTATTCTTCTAAGCACTTCACATGTATCATTTCATTTAAATTTCACAACAACCCTATAACGTAGGAAGTGTTATTCTACTATTAATTCCTTCCTATTTTACAATTGAGAAAAATGAGGTACAAAAAAGTAACAGGTACAACGTCACAGATCTAATAAGAAATGGAGCCAAGATCTAGAAACTAGACTAGGGATCCTGATTTAAGCTAATACATTATAGTGTTTTCCATATATTAAGCTAGGTCCTAAGGCTATATGGTGCAAGAGAAAGCCTATGGATTTGGAGTTAGACAAATCTGGGCTTGAATCCAACCTCTGCTATTTGTTTAGCTTGGGCAAATTATTGAACTTTTTAGTTTCAATTTTCTCAATAGTAAAATGGAAATAGTAATATTTCCATTACTAAATAGTAATATTAAACTCATATGACAAACTAAAATTAAATAACACAAATATTCTAAGATTTAAAAGTGTCTAACTTTTTTCAACTTGAACATAAGTTACTTATCTGCCTGGTATATTATTGTTTCCTTTAAAAACATTACCCTATCCCTTCAGACTCAGATCAAATACTTTGTCCTCTAGAAAGTCTTCCTGGGTCATGCCAGACAGGAAGTTCCTTCCTTTGAACTTCTAGATCACTTAAGGGCATTATTCTTTCATTGTATAGGCACCAAATATATATTGGTGTCGCTGTGTGCCAGTACAATATTAGACTGGGGACGCAGAGCTAAACAATACATGCACTGCTCCTGTCTTCATGGAGCTTACCACACTCCACACTGTAGTGGGATGAGTTGGATGTTAGTTTATTTGCTATAAGTAATTCATCTTTGTATCCACCATAGTCTCTAGAATATTATAGGCACTCAATAAATATTTGAGTAAAATTTGCTGACTAAATGAATGGAGTTTTAGAAACCAATGGACTTTGTTACCATAGATCTAGATAAAACTTTTCTTCTCATTCTTCTAACTGTCCCTATATTAATGCAATCATACATAAACTCAGTTATTATGTGTGTGTGAGTGTTTATGAATGCGTGTATTGATTTTGGTATATATACATAGTAATGTTTTTCTTTTTTATTTAGGTAGTTTTGCCTATTTTAGTACATAGCTAAATGATTAAGTAAGGAGTTTTTATCTGCAGAAGGTCAAACATATCTGCAGAGTGCTCAGAATTTCAGATGATAGTGTTCAGCATTTGCGAACAGGAAAACCTCAGTGGATTTGGAGAGAAGGTTCAAGAACATGTTAGAGTTAAATTGGTTTGGTAAACTTAATGAGACCCCTTGCACTCAGGGATTTGAGACATAGAGTGAAAGAAGTTGGATGAGTGCAAATTATTATTTTTATATTCTACACATATATGCCATAATAATAGCAAGTAAAAAATCTAGTTTCATTTTAGCATAGCTGGTATTTTTTTTCTGTAGTAATTACAAGGCTATTATTTGGGCTATACTTTAACTGTCATTCTAGGCAAGATACAGAAGACAGATAGTGTTGAGGGAAAAGTCTTCTCAAATGAGTGTTACTTACTATCAATGACAGGTAGTCAGCAGTGACATTTTTGCAATTTTATAGGGTAAAAGTGTGACCAGATTTGTTTCTAAATGTACCTACATATACAGATACATTGGAGCTGGGCCTAAACCCCACATTTTTGGGGAAATAAAACCAATCCACGAATTAGTTTCTCGATGTCAGAAATTTCAGCAATAGTGGATTGCAGTGTTTTTGATCCCATCATTAAATCAGAGTTTTGAGGCGGCCTGAAGGTGACTTGTCTTCCAGACAGTCCTTATTCACCCAGGTACACCTCCCTGCTAGCCAACTTCAGGCTCACACTCTCAAAGCTGGTTCTTATAGAGCTGGGTGTAATGCCAATGCTGACATCACTAGCAAAGTGAGATTGGGCAAACTCCTTACCCTCTTTAATGCGCAAATTCCAATTCTGTATTGGTTTCAGACCCTACTCATCTCTTTTCCTCCAAGTGATTCTTTGCATACTGAAAATACCCATTTGTAAAACAAGGTTATCGAGATCTGCTGTGCAAAGGCTGTTGGGAAGATTAAATGAAATCACGTCAGGACTCAGTTGATAGTAGGTAATATTTATACCTAAATCAAAGGGTCAAGAGGCTTGTACTGGGCTTGGAAAGGAGCAACATTTTACTCAGTTGAGATACCATAAACAAATTGAATCCAGACAGGGAAATGTATTATTTGTGAAGGACTCTTCACAGAAGTCAACAAGGGGAGAATGAGACACACATAGATGTTTAACATGCAGTTTAGTTGTGTATAAGGTCTATGGGATCTGAGGAGTGGGGAGAGATATGTGATTACAGACTTGATATAAATTGAGAAAGGCAAAAGATGAGATTTATGAAAGTGTAAATTCCACAAGAGAGATGTGAAAGGAAAAACTACTTAGGGATGTCAATCTTTTCTAACATCCAAGATGAGTGGTGTTGAGAATTTCAGATGCATCTTAAGAAAGGTAATAGTGGAGGTAACCAAAAATAATATTTGTAGCCAAGTGTTTACAATCAACTTACAAGGAGAGTGATTGAAGGGTATTTATGAAATCCTGCGTGCTGAGAACTTGAAACATCATAACAAAAAAGAGGAAAGTGAGCCATAGACTTAGTTGGGAATAAGGGCAAGAAAGAATAAATTTGTGTGTTGCAAAGGAGATGAGGTCTTCCTTTAAGGTAATATTAAAAGAGTAGCTAATATATTTTTCAAAATCTCGGATACTATTTTTCAGATTTATAAGAAGAATAAATAGTTTATCAGATTAAGAAATGGAAGTAATCCTGACATGAAAAAGGGGAATAAATATCCCTTTTTCCCTTCAAATGTCTAAAATGTTCCAGAATCTATTTTATAAAAATAGTGTGATATATTTAAAAATGATAGTAACAAAATCTCTTTCAGAAAGAAGGAAAGTCAAAGGCCTGAAAGAACAAAACAGAGACCCATGTACAGAAGGATTCAAATGCAGCATAGATAGAAAAATTATAATAATGAGAAACCAAATTACATAAAAGTCAAAGAAAAATGAGTGAAGTTTATATACCAAATCTCAAGGTGAGAAAATAAACAAAGCTCTACTTAAAGCATCTTAAAATGCATAAGAAGAGGATGATAAGAGTGGAGCTGAAAGGTCTTATTGGAGTATTATGTGAACCCATCAAAATTGCACCAAAAGAGAAAGTGTGGAGAATGGAAGATTTTTTTACAGAACTGTTTCAGTGAGAGGAACAGGATGTGTGCTAAAGTTAACCAAGAAATAAAGGAATAAAGATTTTACAGTTAACCTTTCCATTCAAATGGGAGTAGTGGATGCTCTAATTATTGACATAGAAAAATGTTCTTGGGTCCTACAGCCCCACTGCTAAGTGGTTTCAGAGTTTTAATACCTGTCCCCCCAAAACTACTGATCTATGGGAGAGAGGTGACAAAACCAGGATAAGCTATTTGTGCCTATCTTCTACTTTGTCTTTCTATTCTCAACCTTGGCAATCTCTCCCAGTATCTCTGACCCTAGTCTAGTCTACTTCCTTCAATCAACATGACATGTCATTACCAGATTAATTTACTTGACTAATCTACTTGATAAATGCTACCTGAATAATGATTCTGAAGCTCCGAATCATTAGTGTTACTAGTGTTACCACTCCCCTTACAAACTTTTAAGCATCTCCCCAACGCCTACAGGTTCAAAAGCAAGCTCATTCACCTATTCTGCATTCTAACTAGATTCTCACCAGTCTCTCACCAGTCACACACACTCTGCTATAAGCACAGTGATACCATCCTTTTGCCAAACACAATGATTTGTTTCCCATCTTCATAGCTTTGTTTATACTGTTTTCTCATTTAGAACTTCCTTTCTTCTCTACCTGTTTGATGAATAGTATGGAAGGTTAAAATACATATGGATGAGTAAGAATTCATGTGATACACTTTGAAGAAAAAAATGTGTGAAAAGGAATGAGGATTGAGAGGACCAGTAAAAAGAGAGTAAGGAGGCACGTGGTTTAGAAAAAGTGCAAAATTAATTTCATAGGCTGTATTATCATTTTCTTTGTACATTAGTGATGTTAGATTCCTGACAAAAGTCTCTGTGTCCCACTGATGGGCATATTTTTACTGGCCCAGTGAATAACACATACCAAGAAGACTGCTCCCATATCCACGCAGAGGAAGACAGGCTATGAACCATCAATGCCTGATTCCTCATAGTTTAATGGCCTTGTATGCAACTCTAACAGCAAAAGCTATTTGTTAGAACAGCTTTAAACTTGTATCTGCTTACCTTGGAATTACGGCGGTATGGAAAGAGAACAGGTTTTAATGAATGGATCTGGACAACCTGTGAAAAGGAAGGCAGAGTAAATGATAATCTGGACTGAGAAATGCAGAAGGAAAAATAGGAAAATGTGATAGAAAAATACCAAAAGATATTTATACTTATTAAAATCTGCATGGAAATTAATTAACTTGAGAATCAAGATTCTAAAAATAATTTAAGGTCCTAAATGAACAAGAACAAATAATTAATTATGAGTATTTTACATGACAAATTTTTAATTATAGCCAATAATATTTGATGGAAGGAAAATTAACATTTACCCAAGAGAAGAATTTGAAAAATAGGAGATGCTGCAACAGCTTATTCATTCATTCATTTATTCATTCATCCATTTATTCACTCATTAGCAAACTCATGTCAAGTGCCTCCTAAGCCACTTAGGCTATGAATATGTATATGGGAGGAAGAATCTACCGCTTCATATTTATAATGAGAGTTTATGGGGTCTTATGAAAAAAGGTAAAAAGGAAAAACAAATAATCACAATCCTCAATATAAAAATTCACTAAGATGGGAAACATATTGTGATACTTGTATATAAAATAATCCTGGAGAAGATCTGGCCAGATGTGCAAACACATTTACATTAAAAAAGAGAAGTTGGGCTTCCATGGTGGCGCAGGGGTTAAGAATCTGCCTGTCAATGCAGGGGACATGGGTTTGAGCCCTGGTCCAGGAAGATCCCACATGCCACAGAGCAACTAAGCCCATTCACCACAACTACTGAGCCCGCGCGCCTAGAGCCCGTGCTCCGCAACAAAGAGTAGCCCCCACTCACTGCAACTAGAGAAAGCCCACACACAGCAACGAAAACCCAACACAGCCAAAAATAAATAAAATAAATTAATTTTTAAAAATTCAAAATTTAAAAAAATTAAAAAAGTTATGGAAGAAACATTTAAATTATGAGACTTATAATAATGCAAGATATCAGATTTATGGAAATTATTTAGGTTGAGTTTGAGGAGAGTAATTTGGAAATGTTTATGAAATGTTTAAATGTATTTTTCTAATAAAATCTTGTATAATAAATATAAAGAAAAAATGAGAAAATGTAATTGTTCTGTAAGTGTGAAGTCTTATTCTAGAAGTCCAGGATAACTAGAGATACTATTAAATTAGACTTTTGAAGCAGGACAATGTAGAATGCAAAAGAATCAAATTATTTGGGTTAATGTTTGGCTTTTCCCAGTTACACAAACCTCATGAATATAAGTGAAAATAACAGACCTGTGGTCTAGTTCTAGAACTGTTATAGAAACCAAGAATCCCTCTTTTTCATGAATTGCCCTAAGGGTTTTGTCCCACTTCTCTCTTTGTTTTGTTGTTGTTTTTTCTCTGTGCTTATTTACGCAAGTGCATCAAATTAAGGAGAAAGTTGAATTGGTACTCCCCCAAATAAAATCTTTCTAAAGTCTTCATAAAATATTTGTAATTTAGAATAGCTCTTGTGATAATGATATAGGACCAATGATAATCAATTATAACTACATTTTGGCTTCTACAAGAAAGTTGAAATTTGCTTCTTTGGATTCTCAAATAGACAAAGGAGGACAACGAACGTCAATCTGAAGGGGACCCAGTTATGCTCATTGAACATGGGAGACCTCAAGTGCCTCCTTACTGAGAACCTAACCCTATTGCGTGGTTCAGAAGAATAAAGCAAATCACTAATACTGGACATTGGACTTTGGGAAGAGAGAGGCCTAAATGTTAGAACATTTTATATAATGAGCCTTGGAGAATGCCCCAAGTATTGGTAGAATTTCTTTTGTGGCAGAGAAGCAAGCTCAAAATTCAAATATTGCTAAGCAAGCTAAAGACAAAGTCATATTTTGAGTGTGCAGCATAGTCTGTCAGAAGCTATGTTATACATCAAAGGAGCACAGGTTGGAGCCAGGAGAGCCAGTTGTGAGCTCAACTCTGTCACTTACTGGGATCTCTCTGGGTCAGGATGCTTAATCTCCATGGCCTGCTGCCTCCTCATCTTTAGAAAGAGGGAGAGCTATCAATGATATTTAAGACTCCTTTTTATCTTCAGTATTTGGGCTATGAGGGTACACCAAGGAAGATAAGGCCTATGTGCAGAAAGAGATTAGTACATAAAGATTTTCTTTCAGCTTTTTCAAAGCAGCTCTCTTCTCACTTTTCAGACGCCCATTGTTGACCTCGTTTCTTTCTTTTTTTTTTTTTTGCGGTACGCGGGCCTCTCACTGCCGTGGCCTCTCCCATTGCGGAGCACAGGCTCCGGACACGCAGGCTCAGCGGCCATGGCTCACGGGCCCAGCCGCTCCGCGGCATGTGGGATCCTCCCGGACCGGGACACGAACCCGTGTCCCCTGCATTGGCAGGCGGACTCTCAACCACTGCTCCACCAGGGAAGCCCCTCTTTTTTTTTTTTTTTTTTTACATAAGCTATTTTAGGTTTGGATTTTTATTTTTTATTCTTGTTCCTGACCAACTACACTTCCTCTGTCCTGGCTACTTCCTCATGTTCTGAACCAGCAACTATGTGTGTGAATACAGACTTCACCTGGGATACAGCCAGGTTCTCCTGACCATGAAAACTTCTTAATGAACCAAAATGTCTATATTTCCATTCTCAGGAACTAAGAAGGTTTCTGCCACTCAAGAAGAACTATTTTTTAAAATCCTGTTGAATGCCATCTCAGAGGACAAAATCTTGCTTTGACTAATGGGCGGGTGAAGTTTAAGTAGAATTGTAGAGGGTGGCAGAAGAGCAGGGGCCGTGCAGCGTGAAGAGTGCTGGGCTGGAGTAAGACATCCTCTTCTGCCACCATCACCCATCTCTCTCTCTCTCTCTCTCTCTCTCTTCACACACACACACACACACACACACACACACACACACACACACACACACTAGGTGGCACCTTTGAGATCTTGTCCTGATCATGCAGACACGTCGATACAATGACAACCATAATCTCCATTGACTTAGCAGCTGATCATATTTCAGGTGCTTTTATATATGCTATCTTTGTGTTATGATTCAGTTAGGTGGTATTATTATTCCCATTTTAATGGTAAAAGAGATTAAATAATTTACGTAATGTAACAGTAGGTTGCAGGACTAGATTTTAAACCCAAATCAGTAAGAGTCCGACGTTTTCCTGCAAAGAGCATGACTTTGTAACTTTCGAGATTAGGCTAGTAATGTATCTATACTTTCTCATCTGTGAAAAATGAAGACGTTAGTTCCCAACTTTCAGGATAAAATGAAATGATGCATTTGAAAGTGCCAATTCAAGATAGGGGCTTAATCACTTAATAAATAGAGTCCCTGCCTTTGAGATGCAATATAACTTTTCCCACATTTCATTTTATACTGGCGCTGTGAACTAGGCAAAACATCGCTGCCGTCTTACAGATGGAGAAGTTGAGGCGCATGAAGGTTAAGTGGATTACCTGAGGCCCCACAGCGGATGATGGCAGAGATGGTACTGAACATAAACCTCCTAACTCTCAGTCCAGACCTTTCCTGTCACAAAGTTATCTTTAAATTGTTCAGCAGAAAGAAAAATAAACATGGTGGCAAAGAGGAGCTGTACATGGTGGAAACTAAGAGTACTGGAGCCGAAGAAGCCTAGACTTGAACTGTAGCCTCACTGCTTACTGTCTGTGTGATTGCTAAGTTACTTGAATTCTTTGAGTTTCAGTTTCTTATCTATATAGGCATAATGAAGATTTCTTTGTGGAGTTCTTGTAAAAATTGGAGGCGAAATGTTTAACTATACCTGACACACAGTTGGAACGTAATGAAGAAGAGCTACTATTTCTAGTGATGATTAGTACTATTTAATTACAAGTTTTAATTATGTGTTTATAATTATTTACCTTTCATGCAGTGAAAAACAGCATTATGTCTACGATACGTCAGGTATTGCTCTGGGCTGTGGGACCACAAAGATGCCACACCTGATGTCAGAGTCTCACCATCAATAATTCTCAGCAATTTTGTATCATATGAGATAATGTTGTAGTAAATGTACACTTACTAGTTTTCACTAATTTCTAAGATTTATAAGTATAGTTTGCCCAATTTTCTCCCTATAGATAAGAAAGCCAGAACTGCCTAGTTTGGGTAGAGTGAGACCCCGCTTATAGCTTCTCAGAGGTGCCCTGGTGACCCCATGCTTGTGAATCTCTGAGACATGCAGACAAAAAGAAGGTGGGGTTCAGGGTACACATACTGGACTCCCCATTGCCCTTTTCTGACTTTCCAAAGTATCACCGTATCAGCAGTGTCTTACATATGTAAAACAATTTTAGCTTTTTAAAACTCCTTTCATATATTTTGTCATAGCCATATCACATATGCAGGTCATGATATTTTATTTTAGAGTCAGAAGAGAACTCTCAGGCATAACACACCTTTTTCATAAGAGAATGAAAAATGAAGGAAAGAAATTCATGTCCCCTTTCCTTCCTATGAAATTGTAAAGCAACTGGTTGAATTCACCCTTAAAGCCCTTATGAATATTCAGTGTAAGATCTTTATGCATCTCATGGTTCCCAGCTATTAAACACAACCACACTGATGAATAATTAGATTAGAAATATGGCCCTTTTTGCAGTTCACCTCAAGCCCAACCCAAACTGAAGCCCACACCTCACCCACTGAAAGGGATTTTTAGCCAGGGTGCAAAATGGATTAAAGTCAGGAACTCACTTATTTATTCACTCAACAATTTGTTTTGAAGTATTTGCATTGTTCCAGGTAAGGAAGATACAATGTTGAGCAGAACAAACACTGCCAGCCTCATAGTCCAATCAGAAACAAAACTAGAAATTACCACACAAATAAAAATGAAATGGTAACTTTGATGAGAGCTATGAGAGCCACATGGCTCTATGGAAGCCTATATAGGTAGATTTGATCCAGCTGAGGAGTCAGGATACACTTTCAGGGGTGATGATGATTGAGCTCAAACCTGATGTAAAAAGCAGGAGGTAACTAGCCAAAAGGAGGGAGGATG